CTTTGCATATCCGTAAAGTTTCATAAATAATACGGTAATTTTAATCTACACAGATATGATAATTTTTGGCGGAAATCCAATTCGGCTCACAAAAGTCAAACAAAAATATGGATGGGTTCATTGTCCCACTCAAATTCTATATGCAAATTTTTAGGGGGAAACTTAAGCATTTTTACCTGTGCAAGAAAAAACAAGTCGAATGACAAATGTTACCTTTAAATGTTACACTTCATTCAGTTTTTTCATCGACGGAGTACTGCTATCCCATTTTGCATCAAAATTATTAGGCACGCTTCTTACACTAACAAAAATATCTACAAAAAAATTCATAATTTTAAATTTTATTTACTATTTATTTTCAATTTATTGTTCATCCAAGAGCATATGCACCCAGAACCAAAACGGACATCCAAAATTTTGGATCCAAATGTAACAAAAGTATCCCATTTTGTTTTATGTGCTTATCCTTTTTATGTACAAAACATATGAAAATTCATAAGCACATACTACACATGTACTTGTATGTGCATATAGTTCTTAGATTTTTTTTTTGGAGTTATAAAAAGTAATTTGATAAAAAAGGGTTCCTTAGAGCCCGTCTTCCAAATCCCATTTTCACCCTTTTTAGCCCTTAACAAAAAAGCATCTTTATACAAATTTGTACCTCTTTACAAGTTGTGTATTGTTCTGTCCGGTGGGTCCCATTACCAGCCCTAAATGGTAAGCTCAATGAGTCTCTCTAGTTCGATCCATTCATGTGAGGCCTGTCGGATGCGGCACATGGTGTCGGGCAACAAGGTTCAGCATGACTCAACCCGAGTCACTCGCCATAATCTTCATTTTGCTACGTGTACATATGCAGATATATCATTTGCGAACACCAGGGTGGGCAGAAGGCCACTATGCACGGGTGATCACCAATGATGGCCGGAGGAAGAACACACAAGTGGATAAGATAATACCATCTCACCCCTCCTACTAGCAAGTGTCATGTAGGCTTGTAGTTAGGGTTGTTTCAGCACCAACCACCGCCACTTCCTTTGAGGACAAATCACCGCCGCTGCCACTTTCGCTTCGAAGTACCTGCCTCGAGTATGGGGAGGAGGTCTTACTCGGGTGTGGTTCATCCTGAGGCGGTGGAGACGGTCAAGCTTAACATTCCTGTGAGATGCATCTTGAGGAATGTGGCACACATGTGGCATTTGATACACGGCTGCACATGAGACTGGCAATTGACCTCCCCCCGACAAAACATGGCAAAACTTTAAGGCCTCTTTTGGTTCGTAGGAATCTCATAAGATTTCTATAGGATAGGATTTGCATAGGAAAATTTCCTCTGAAGCCCTTTGGTTTGTACGAATGGATTCCTATTCCTATATAGGATAGGAATCAATCCTTCACATTTTGGAGGGAAAAAAACATTAGCTAAGACTCAATGAAAAATTTCCTATCGTATACATCAAATGACATCTCTTAGATACATGTCATCTCAGTTCCTATGATTTTTTTATTCCTATAACATTCCTATCCTATGAACCAAAAGAGGCCTAAAAGGGAAAATGTTGAAACAAATTTGCTTTTGGAGGAATTTCTGCTAAATGAGATAACATGCGGAAAACTCAACTTACATGGTAAAATGTGATATGCACTCAACTTAGATGGTGAAATGTGATATGCACTCAAACTTTTTTCTACTAAAGTACCTCTAGAGAACGCTCACATCATGTATACTCCCTCCGTCACAGTTTACACGACGCGCTTCAACAATCTCTCGGATCAAGCTAATTAATTAGCGATTGGACTGAAAAATAGCATTGGTGGTTATACCACAACACCTAATTGCTCGAGAAATGAACACGCAATAACCCCACGGCCAATAAATGCACGTACACACATGCATGGAGTGCTTCCACCTCGCGTACACACATGCATGCAGTTATTCCACCCAGAGTACACACCTGCATGGAGAGAAAATTGTGGGCTTGATTGCTATTACCACGCTCTAATTAATTGGGCGTTAAACCAAACGCGCCTAAAATCCATCCGGTGGTGGAAATGCATGAGAATCGAAGTGCGTTGAGTAAATTGTGACGGGGGAGTACATAAGAAGTTCATCCCCACTATCTTATTTATCTTAACATCTAGCTTATCCACCTTATCACATATGTCCCACACATGCCACCTCCCATTTAAATGCACATGCAAGCCATCCACATAATTAAGGGCATGCAATCAATCAACATTTCACTTTTCACCACTTGCACATCCTCCACATCATCAAGCACACATGCAATAATTCAACTTTCCACTTCCCACTTTCAACTGCATGCAAGCTCTTCACATCATCAAAGAACATGAAAGCCCTCCACATCATTATTTCTATTTTTATTTCTATTTTTCAACAATAAATAATTTAACTTGAATGTCACAAGACAATATAACATGCATCCACCCTCATTTTCATATGGGTTGAATGTGATGGGATATTATCCTGATATATTCTAATTTTATTTTTGATAAGCTCATTGCTAAAATCAAGTCCTGTAGTTAGAACTATACACCTAATTAATACTCTCCATTTTTCAGGGACGGACAATCGGGTCAGTTAGATAGAACCAATAGCTTAGTTGCACATAATTGTGCCTAACATTTATTTGTCTGTTCCAGGGATTATTATACCAACACGGACTGGAACTCCAGTAGTTGCATGCATGCTGCATCAGACCATTTGGAGCAATAATATGTACATGCCCTAATCTGTACTCTAGTCCATACATGCCCCGTCCCATGAGGTAGCTGCTGGAGCAATCTTAGTTGAAGTTCCGGAAAATCTGACTTTTTTTCCTAATCATTGTTAGACTTTTTATCCAAAATATTGACAGTCTGAGGGTGAACATGTCTTCTCAGGTATACATAATCAGATGTCTTATAATGATTCATATGAACTAAAAAGAGGAAAGTGCATGAGAAAAGTTATGCATTTTTCATCGCTGTAAAGAACGTATATACTGATTGAGCCAATCATTTGCAAGCATAATAGATTAAGTTTAAGCTTCTTGTGATGGAGTACTTTCCATGTCAATGTCTTGTTTCAATGTGGAGCTCCTCTGTCAATGTACTAAAAGCAATAACAAAAAACACTTCATGGAATATTTATTACTTTAATTTTCTGGAAAGAACTTTAATCAACTGAGTTGACACTTCATAGAAATTGCACTTTATGTTTGCCTTCCAACGCTAGTGGTACAGCTTATAATGATGCTCACAAAGTAAACTGTGTAGCCGCAATAAAACTGACATAATCTGCAGGCATAGACATCTTTTAGGAGCTAAAGCAAATCATCCATGGTGTTCACAAAAATTAAATACAACCAGGTCACTCAAATTAATCAGTTAAGCTAGTTGGTAGATTGTACTCCCTCCGACCAGAAATGTATGGCGTGCACGGGATTACGGTTCAACTTTGCCCAACAATTAATCTAACAAAATATATATTGTGTAAAAATGGTATCAATGTATTCATATTCAAACACATTTTTTAAATAGTGTCTTGTTTGGATAATTCACATATTAATTGCTTAACTATTGTTCAAAGTTGAATTTCTTACTCCATGCACATCTTACGTTTTGGAACCTAGAAATTACTTGCATAGGCCAGAATAAAAATTAGTATCCATTGTCCCTCCAGTACTATATGCTGGCATCAGGGCAGTTTCTTCATTTTGAGGAAGATCACACATGAATACTTTACCCATAGAAGACACAGGACATGCATGCCATGATTTTGAGGAACATTTGGGTACGTAAGCCCATTAAGCAAAATCTGAACGAGAACATCAACGCAAAGTCTATGAATTAACGAACTAGTCATCTTGCCCCATATTATTGAACTTTATCTAGTTAATTCATGCTTAGTGATAATGATCACAAGATTTTTGCACTGCAAATGAGTCTCAACTCCCAACCTCTTCCTTACTTATGTCGTTCCTGTTCCGTTCTGCCCCAACATTCCCAGTCCTGTACGTTATTCAAGTATATTATAGAAAAAACAATGTCACAACCTCACAGTTATGTTCTTAATCACCCCACCCACTTTGAAGGGACAAGAAATATATAGAAACAAGAATAATATGATCTTAGTTCACATCAAATAATCTCCCAGAGAACCTCAGAAAGAATTTCTACGAATTATACTGGAAAATACATGCATCTGACAATATTTTTTAGGATCACAGTCTAAGCATAATTACACCGAACGATTAAGCGGATCATGATTAAGGATTGTATACTGCAGCATCATCGCATGTAAAAAGCTAGCTATATATACTACTCTTGCGAGTCAAATAGATACTAGATTATACCAACACGTACTACTTCAATATCAGATCCATATAGGAATCTTTAGAAAGGCAGTACAAGATAAGATAGGTCCCGTAAAAGAGTTGGAGGAGCTAGCTAGTCGATGAAAACAGTTGTATAACTGGACTTTCTACATGTGCGGCCATTGAATCAGCTTGTCTATCACTATATCAGCTGTCCATCACTGCCTTCTAGCTTGTTCGCTTGATCATCTCTCTTGGCAATACATACATATTTCTGGCATGACAAGTCGAATCATATACAGAAATACTACTGCAGTTACAACTATACAGAACAGAACTCGGACAAGATAACTTATTTCCAAACCAGAAATATATAGCATAACGATCATACCAAGAAGCATTTTTGCTGTCTAGTCAACTAGGTTTCTGCGGTGATCATGTATAGATCCAGCAGTGAACTCTCACAACCCCTCTACTAGGATTATTACTAGCTGGCTAGGACTAGCTAGAACCTGAGCATGATTGATCGATCGATCGACGCAGACTTTAAAAATTGCACATATATTACCCAACTCAAACTCTCAAGTCCAAAACATGATCAGGATTCAGGAAATCATCGATCGAGGAGTATATCTTGTGGTGATATATTAATTCTGCGCTAGCTAGTTGTAGTGGTTCTTACGAGCGCTTAAGGTAGGCATACGCCACGCTCTGCAGGTCCTCGCAGTCTTGGTACCGCGACGACGACCTCCACCCGCTCTCCTCCGTGCCGAATGACGACTGATCCGCCGTCTCGAAGCCCGCCGCCGCGGCATGCCCGTCGTCGTCCGACGCCGACTGCTCCAGCGCGTGGTACATCATGTAGTCCGAGGCCGCCGACCCGGCCAGCAGCGCGGTGATGGAGTCGTGCCCGGCCGCGGCGCCGCCATTGCCGCCGTACGCGCACTGCTGCTGCGCGGCCGCTGCGCCCACACCGTGACCGTTGTGCCACTGGTAGGCGCCACCATGCCCGTACTGATCCGCCGCGCCGCCTCCCACGTAGCCCTTGACGTCGTCCTGGTGCTGCATCCCTTGCGGCGCCGGCGCGGCGTGCGCCTTGAGCGAGGCGAGCTGCGCCTGCAGGGTCATGACCTGCTGCTGGAGCGCGAAGATGTGTGCGACGCAGCCGTAGACCGGGTCGCGCAGCCGGGCCTGCGCCTCGTAGGAGACGGTGACGGCGGCCTCGGCGCGGTCGGCGATGGGCAGGTGCGCCAGGAGCTTGGAGACGTTGCTGGCGCCGAACACCTTGTGGATGGCGGCGAAGTGGGCCGCGCCCTGCTCGTGGCAGAAGTAGGGCGCGAAGACGCACCCCCGCGCGCACTTGCGCCGCAGAAACTTGCACGCCCCGCACGGCGACCCCAGTCCCGTCATGCTCATCAACCGGCCGGTGATGATCGCTGGATCGCTCGGTGACCCGATCGTGCTGTCTCTCTCCGGTGCTGTGGTGGCGATCGCTGGCTGCTGCTGCTGCTGAGGATGGTTGGAGTGCAATGGCCGGCCGAGCGCCATTGCTTATAAGGAGAGGAGCGGAGGAGGAGGTGCATGGTTGGGGATTAGGGCCAGCGGGAATAAACAATTCCGGCGTGTCTCCCCGGTGGCCAACCGCCTCCATTATTTTGAGCTTCCGATGGCGCGCTCGCCTCTCCGGCCCGCTAAGTTCGGCCCTCCCATTTTCTCTCTTTTCTGTAGGTACACTAATACTATACACCACTCTGCCAATCCCAAGAGAAGGACAAACCACAATGGGGCTAGGTCACCCGGTGTGCAATTATACACAACTTTCTCTCGTGTTTCTAGTTTAGTTGTTATCGTGACTGCCTGCCCGTGCGATGATTTATTTTGTGATTAGTTGGGATGCGTTGCAGCGCGACTCGCCAGCACACTCCAGTTGATAAACCCGGGGATAATACATATACAAGCATTTCATGCATCACCTGGCCAGAAGTGGAGCTGTCGTTTGTGTTATTTTCCGGTCCTTTCTTTTCCTCAGGAGACAATAAGTGATGGGAAATTAGTTTAGAACTTTTTCCTTGGGATCAGAGACAACTTTGATAAATTATCAGGGAAAATATATGCACAAGTGTATGCAAATTTATATTCGTGGGCATCAGCAGGCATGTATGTCCAATCATATGAGAAAAACAATCTAGCAGTGGGCTAATATACCAATCTATCTATGCCACTTAAATATGTTTCGGAAAGGAAGCCCCAACATGTACCCTAAACTGCACCGGCTGCTCTAAACTATGTGGCACCTGCAGGAAAGATTGGAACAGAGCAACAGAACTTCTGCGACCCTGCCCTGGCCTCTGCATCATGTAGGGTTAAGAAGCTCATTATCCTAACCAAGAGTCCGAACTCTTTTGCCTTCCACTGACCATTAGAGGTTTGCTGAGATTAGGCCGGCCTATGCCAATACAGTAATGCACCTTCACTAGCTAGGTGGTGCTAACCTATATATGCTTATCATAAATTACATGCACGCACACTAGTAAAAAAAGGGTCAAACGTGAAGCACATTAGTGCCGGTTCCAACGGCTAGCCGGGCCGCTTTCATTAGTACCGGTTCGTGGCGAACCTTTAGCACCAGTTCGTGCCACGAACCGGTACTAATGAGAGTGGTGGCAGGATGTTGTCAGACTGGGGCCCCTCCAGCCCCTTTAGTACCGGTTCTTGGCACGAACCGGTACTAAATGTCGTCCTACATAAACCCTTCGTCCACCCGAACTCGCTCTGTTCTTCCCCTTTCCCCTCTCCTCTCTGTTCTTCCCCTCTTCCTCTCGAGCTCATCACACATTTTGCCCAAAATTTGTCAAGATTTGAAGGCCCCCATCCATTCAAATGATCACAAAAGTTAGCAACTTTGTCCTTTCATCTCTCATTGCTAGATTAGCTCTTGCAATGCTTTATATAGTGATTAATTTGTGAGTTTAGTAATTTGGGAGGATATATATGTGCTAGTATTTGATTTATATGCAATTTGAGGTCAAAAATAACACTTAGTTTGCATATGTAGGTGTGGTTTACTTAGTGCCTTCTAAATCTCTATCGTAACCACCGTCGATCGCCCGCACCGTCCCGTCGCCGGCACCACCTTGTGGTGAGCCTCTTGTTCATGAAATTTTATATAAAAATTGATGTCTGTGTGATTTGGATATATAGTTACTCGTATAATTATCTTACCTCGTACGTTGTTTGTTATACATATAGTGCCATGGTTTTGATATCCGTCCCCGTCGGCCCTCGTCCTTGTTATGATTCGGATGTGGTATATATATTCTCTTTTAAAACTAGTTGCATTTCGTGTTTATGACAAATTATGCCCATCAAGTTGACATAGAAATTTTTTCTAGGAGGTATGTGAACCGGAAATTCCAACCGACCCTATTGTCGAGAGGTTAAATTTAGTTGAAAGAGAAAACGAGTACTTGAAAGAAAAATTGAAAAGAATTGAGGGGGAGAAGATGGAATTGGAGTTGCATGTTTCCGATGTCGTCGATGATCACAAGATCAAGATGGAGAAAATGCGCTTGAAGATTAGAAAGATTAGAAAATATGCCATCGATAGTGAGGCTTGGTATCATTATGCTGTTGGATCCATTGTTACCTTAGTTGCGATCTTGATCGTATTTGTTGTTGCATTTAAATGCTTTAGCTAGAGAGTTATTTGTTTGTTGCATTTAAGTGTTGTATGAACTTTATGTATGAACTTGTATTAATTTGGTCTATTCGGTGTTGTGTAATGAAGATGAGCCGGCAATGGATGTACGATGACCGATGCTCTCCCCAGTTCGTTGAGGGCGTGCATACTTTTCTGCTTGCAGCTGAGGCAAACAAGCGGGCGGATGGTTTTATGCCTTGTCCATGTGCTCGCTGTAAGAATGGTCACAATTACTCTATGTCAAGAACCATTCACGTCCACCTGTTTAAGTCCGGTTTCATGCCCCACTATAATGTTTGGACCAAGCACGGAGAAAGAGGGGTTATGATGGAAGACAATGAAGAAGAGGACGACGACAGCTATCCTGGCCATGGGTTCCCTGAATACGATGATACAACAATGGGGGAAGAAGCTGAGCCGGTAATGCGGGAAGAAGCTGAGCCGACAATGCGGGAAGAAGCTGAGCCGACAATGCGGAAAGAAGCTGAAGAAGAGGCATCAGATGAGCCCGTTGATGATCTAGGTCGGGCCATTGCCGATGCAAAGAGAAACTGCGCAAGTGATTTGGAGAAGAAGAAGTTGCAGCGCATGTTAGAGGATCACAAAAAATTGTTGTACCCGAATTGCGTAGGTCACAAGAAAAAGCTGGGACCACACTGGAATTGCTGCAATGGAAGGCACAGAATGGTGTATCTGACAAGGGATTTGGAAAGTTGCTGGTAATGATAAAGGATATGCTTCCAAAGGACAACGAATTGCCCGAGAGTACGTACGAAGCAAAGAAGGTTGTCTGCCCTCTAGGGTTAGAGGTGCAGAAGATACATGCATGCCCTAATGATTGCATCCTCTACCGCGGTGAGTACGAGGATTTGAATGCTTGCCCGGTATGTGGTGCATTGCGCTATAAGATCAGCCGCGATGACCCTGGTGATGTCGAGGGTGAGCGCCCCAGGAAGAAGATTCCTGCCAAGGTGATGTGGTATGCTCCTATAATACCACGGTTGAAATGTTTGTTCCAAAACAAAGAGCATGCCAAGGCGATGCGATGGCACAGAGAAGACCGTAAGAAAGACGGAAAGTTGAGAGTACCCGCTGACGGGTCACAGTGAAGAAAAATCGAAAGAAAGTACGGGAAGGAGTTTGCAGATGACGCAAGGAGCGTATGGTTTGGTCTAAGCACAGATGGCATTAATCCTTTTGGGGAGCAGAGCAGCAACCATAGCACCTGGCCTATGACTCTATGTTTGTATAACCTTCCTCCTTGGTTGTGCATGAAGCAGAAGTTCATTATGATGCCAGTGCTCATCCAAGGCCCTAAGCAACCCGACAACGACATTGATGTGTACCTAAGGTCATTAGTTGAAGAACTCTTATAACTGTGGAATGGAACAGGTGTACGTGCGTGGGATGAGCACATGGGGGAAGAATTTGACCTAAAGGCGTTGCTGTTCGTGACCATCAATGATTGGCCTGCTCTCAGTAACCTTTCAGGACAGACAAACAAGGGATACCGCGCATGCACGCACTGTTTGGACGATACCGACAGTATATATTTGGCTAATTGTAAGAAGAATGTGTACCTGGGACATCGTCGATTTCTTCCGAGCAGGCATCCCGTAAGAAAGAAAGGCAAGCATTTCAAAGGTGAGGCGGATCACCGGACGAAGCCTCGCCACCGTACTGGTGCTGATGTACATGATATGGTCAAGGATTTGAAGGTGGTCTTTGGAAAGGGTCCTGGTGGACAACCTGTTCCGAATGACGCTGACGGACGCGCACCCATGTGGAAGAAGAAATCTATATTTTGGGACCTGCCCTATTGGAAAGACCTAGAGGTCCGCTCCGCAATCGACGTGATGCACGTGACGAAGAATCTTTGTGTGACCCTGCTTGGCTTCTTGGGCGTGTATGGGAAGACAAAAGATACACCTGAGGCACGAGAGGACCAGCAACGTATGCACGGAAAAGACGGCATACATCAGGGTCATGCAAGCTACACTCTTACCAAAGAAGAGAAGGAAGTCTTCTTTGAATGCCTGCTCAATATTAAGGTACCGTCTGGCTTCTCGATGAATATAAAGGGAATAATAAACATGGCAGAGAAAAAATTCCAGAACCTAAAGTCTCATGACTGCCACGTGATTATAACGCAACTGCTTCCGGTTGCATTGATGGGGCTTCTACCGGAAAATGTTCGATTAGCCATTGTGAAGCTATGTGCATTTCTCAATGCAATCTCTCAGAAGGTAATCGATCCAGAAATCATACCAAGGTTAGAGAATGATTTGGTGCAATGTCTTGTCAGTTTCGAGTTGGTGTTCCCACCATCCTTCTTCAACATCATGACGCACGTCCTAGTTCACCTATGCGAAGAGATTAATGTTTTGGGTCCTATATTTCTACACAATATTTTCCCCTTCGAGAGGTTCATGGGAGTCTTAAAGAAATATGTTCATAACCGTGCTAGGCCAGAAGGAAGCATCTCCAAGGGCCGTCAAAATGAGGAGGTCATTGAGTTTTGTATTGACTTTATTCCTGACCTTAAGCCGATTGGTGTTCCTGAATCGCGGCATAAGGGCAGACTGGATGGAAAAGGCACGCTAGGAGGGGAACAAATAATATGTATGGACGGACATTCTCTCACTGAAGCACACTACACAGTTCTACAGAATTCTGCCTTGGTGGCTCCGTATATGGATGAACACAAGAATTTGCTACGCTCCAAACACCCGGAGCGGTCTGGTGACTGGATTACACGTGAACAAATCAGGAGTTTCGCCAGCTGGTTGCAGACACGTACCATGCATGACACCTCTATTGAAGATGACCTGTACTTGCTGTCCCAGTT